CCAGCGTGATGCCTGGCTGGGTCTGCTTTAGTCTATCTTAGTCACACGTGACACGGAAAGACCAGCGCTGCCAGTCTCTGTGAGAGGTCGAAAATAAAGCCCACTGTGGAAGAACCAGCAATGTCAGGATGTCAACAACGAAAAAACCAGCGATGCAAAGCATACTTTTCTTTGTTGCGTTCCTTGAGACCAATCAGTGACCATATTTCAGTAAAAATGGTGAAATGGTATAGGTTTTACGCCCCTGTCAAAACTATTATTAGGTTATTTAATTTAAGAGGCGGGATCTCCGAGTTAAACGTCATTCCCCGAAAGGACGGAACCAAATAGGATGTAAGGTGTCTTTCCCGTGGACACAACGTCGGACCGAGCTGAGGCTCGAACCCCCTCACTGGTATTATATTATGCGCTGCTAAATGGGAAAATCTTTCATCGAGCACCCATGTTGCGCTAACCTTCAACTTTTCGAAGAAAACTTGGTCTGCCCAGACACCTCAGCGAACGATTTGTACAATCGTTGGCTGATATCTCTCTTCTCCTTTAAAATCTTCTCTCTAAGTGATGAAACAGTACACATGTACTGTTTCAAGACAGTCAGCAAAAGGGGTGGAGACGATGTGGCCAGCATGTTGCTACATTACTTTCTACACATTCTGTGGGTTGATGTGACTCGTGCGCAGGCCAGAACAAAAACTGGACGGTGATGTCGTTTCTCTATCATGTTTTTGTCCTCCAGGAAAGGTGCGGTAAAACGAAAATCTCGTTTCCAGTGAGAGGCCACAGTTACATGGGATGCGACAGAGACATGGCATTGGTGAATGAGAAAGTCACTGTAGATATGCCAGCCAGTTGGGTGGAGCAATTCAAGACTGCTTTTCGGAAACCCTCTCTGCTCCAGATAGTGGGGATGACGCATGCCGTATTCCAGAATGTGTCAGAAAACTTTAAACCGTACTACCGTGTCTCCTGCCTTATACCCACTCTACCTCTGTTTGAAATCTGCATCTCACAAGCCCATCCACAGCTAATGCAGTGTAGAGAGAGAGAGCTGGAATGGTCCGTTTGACACCGCAATCATTATGAAGCTGGTGGAAAAGAAGAGCGCTACGAGAATCCAGCCTCATGATACCCCTCAATAAAAACCCGCTGACCATTAAAGCTGCCAAATATGCAGACATGAAGGTCTTAAAGATGTTCTGCTCTGAATTGCCCCATGTAGGAGGACAAAGTACCACACAAGAGTCTGATGTCTGAGTCGTCTTCCAAAAATGAATATTAGATTTAAAAATTTTTAAAAGAACATAGTAAATATTACAAAATTATGTGCAATTTTCATGTTTGAAACATTTGGCTTTGTTTGTATTCTCAAATGAGTAAAGAAGCACTCTATTCATTGACTTCCTCGAAGATGGAGACCTTGCCAACAGCTTACAAGGGAAAAACGAGCGCTGTCGGTTTGCTACATAATTTTTCTATTTTGCTCTCACTTCTCATTGTCAACACAAATAATGGTCATGCTTGAAGTCAATGTAAAAAGTGGCGAGATCACTGTAGTTAAAAAAAGAGTTAGACTCCATAAGTCTTTAACGTTTGTTTTTCAATTATATCGGGATTGCAAAAACATGTCAACGTTGGATTTTCCCTTGTGCCCTTCATATACAGTCGTGGCCAAAGGTTTAAGAGCACCTAACAATATAATGCAATTTCTCTATTAGTTAAAAGTATCCCATTATATTCTTTTTTTTTGTGGAAATTACTTTCACTCTTTTTGGTTTACTGCATCATACGCTTCGACTTTCCATAAATGTTCCCAGAGCAGTCAGTACTTTGAAAGTTATGATGAGCCTGTTTAAGATTATTTTTTCTTGCTCAATTAAATATACAAAAAATATGACCAAAATCCTCACTTTCTGACGTTCAATTCAAAGAGCCCTAATATAGGTTCTTTGCAGTACAAGTTATTCACAGCGCGAGATTTCAACCCAAATAGGGTGCAGCAAGAGACACAATCCGTAGTGCTCTTGTTAATTTTCAAATTATGGACCATATTGTGACAAGAAGAGAAATGGTCGTCCCAGAAAAACTTCACCAAGATATGGCTGCTTCATGAAAAACATTGTCCTGCTGTCAAATACAGGGTTTTGCCAGAAAACTAGAGCTGCATTTCTTCGAAAGGGTTCAAAAGGGAGTTGCAGGTTGCACACCGGTTGGTTGAAGAATCTAGACTCAAATCGTGTAAACTGTCCCCGTGGTTTTATGTACCCCGCATAATTTAGCAAAATTTGATCTTTTTTTGCATAATTTCTTATTATTTTCCTTTATTATTCTTTGTTAAAATTAACAAAATCGCATAATTTCACGTTTTTGGGTTGTTTTCATAATTTCATAATTTTTCTTGCATTAAACAACGGGGACAGTGTTAACAATCCCGTAAACAAAGACTGACCCATGGATATGAAAAAGAAGTGGCTGTTGTTTGCAAGAATCCATGAGCACCAGACTGCAGAGCATTGGACCAAAGTGAGGTTTTGAGACGATTTGACTTCAACAGTTTGTAGTTTGGCAGTATCATATCGGGAGGCCACCAGGGAAAAGATACGGAGTATACCATAGAGACACTGCATGAAACATCCGCCAAGTGTGATGAACTGGGTCTCTCTCTCTCTCTCTCTCTCTCTCTCTCTCTCTCTCTCTCTCTCTCTCTCTCTCTCTCTCTCTCTCTCTCCCTCCCTCCCTCCCTCCCTCCCTCCCTCCCTCCCTCCCCCTCTCTCTCTCTCTCTCTCTCTCTCTCTCTCTCTCTCTCTCTCTCTCTCTCTCTCTCTCTTGGCCCCGCGGAAAATTGCATTTTTGAAATAAAAAAATTGCAAGATAAACCGCCTAAAAATTGCAAAAAATTGCAACCTTCCCATCCCAGGCGCATTAATATACGGGCTTAACATTTTTAGTTTAAAAAACATGACAATTTTGAGTACCGGTAGCATAAAAGCAGCACAGCCTTTTAAAAAATCATGACAAACAATACAAATGCATCAAATGTTATTAACAACATTTACTAGTAACAACACACAAGTACGTTAACAATAAAGTTATCGACCAAATATAATATGATGACGCGTGACACAAAATAACGGAACCCTCGGTTTTCGTAATAACTTTTAAATGAAGGCATAACATTAATTGACCAAATTTAGTACATACCGGGTACTTGGTTCATGCAAAAATCTATAAGCGTATGAGGTTTAGTTTATAAAAAACAAAAACAAAATTGACGAGAGATTTTCGAAGCAACCTCTAAATACAAAATAAGCTTATGTTCCAATCAAACCAGATCCTGTTCTATTTTTCTCTTGAAACCTTCGATACACCGGTTATCTGTATTTAGATCTATTTCAGATATTTTCTGTTTTAAAACCGGCAAGGTATTGTTTTAACACTAAGTCAAATCGTAAAATACAGCAATTTTTTTTCTTCCATTTATAAACAATAGTAATACATGTACTTATGTAGATCTAGATCATTTCTAGCCTCAGTGTCTACGTATACGGTAACCGGCAACCGGGCACGTAGTCTAAGTGTCACGTACACGGCTGTCCTCAGGGAAATTGGGCGCGCAACTTTTGCCGTCGACGCAACTTTTGCGCAACTTTTACGATTTTCGTGAATTCGCTAATTTTAGCCAATTTCCCGCAAAATTCGGAAAAATAATAATAAAATTTCATTAAAAACACCGAAATTTTCTTCCACGACTAAAAATAACGTCGCCAAGGGGGACAATTCGCTTCTTTACACTTTGCACTAGCCTACGGGTGCCCGCCGCCGCCCAGTGACCCGGGCCGGGTCAGGTCGGGTCGGGATGATCGCCCGACTCGTCGCCTGAAAACAGTTTGTAAAGACAGTGAGAAACTGACGGCTTTGGTCATAACAAATACTGGCAAAAGTACAAAGAAGCAGCCCCAAGTCTTTCCACTCTGATGGAGTAGAATTAGTCATGGTGTAATTGCGCTTCAAAATTATTCAGTCTGTCATGGACTTCTATTCTTGATGTTGTCCACATATATATGATGATATGAGAGACGCAAGTATGCTGTATTGGTGGCCTTTGCCACTGAGACTATTGAAATGGGCTATTAATAAGAAAGCGGGGGGGTTTTTCGTCACCAGTAGTCACCTCAGAACGTCTTAGTTCTTTCCGGGACAAACCTATCACGTGCGCTGACATTCTTTTGTACTTCGGGTATTTCCCGTTTTTGTTGTAATTTTGAGCGGGTTGTTTTTTTTGTGTTTTTTTGTTTGTTTGACGTTTTTGTCTCCTCTGGTGTCTGTTGCTATCCGTTTTGAAATGCGCGTTAATAAAGGGTAGGGTTCCTGCGGCCTCCGTGAATCCAAGGAGTCCTTGAAAACTACTTCAATTTGCATTCAAGGAAAAATTTCCCTGAAAACTCCTTGAATTTGAGGAACCTCTAGAGGTCCTTGAATTTCGCCGGATCGGACATAAACAAAATATTTTACGGACAATCGAAACTATCATTTCTTTCGAACATACGCTTCCGATGTGCGAGTGCGCCGTCAAAAACGGCATGAATTTCCTGACCAAGTCTCCTTGAATTTTAAAAAAAAATTCCCCTTAAAATCTCCTTGAATTTTGTGGGGAGTTCGAAGCAGAAACCCTGAAAGCGGCATAACATGACCTCAAAACGACTGCCTATTGCTTGTCAGGGCAGATAATGGAAAATAAGTCAGTCTCTACTCCGCGCTGATGTCTCTTATTTTCTCCTTGTACTCCTTGGACATCGCTGGTTCTCCCCTTGCGTACACTTTTTTCTCGCGAGCATTGAGACAGACTATGATAGTGTTTAGATTTTTCCACGTGGTGAAACCATAGGGCTTGGTCAAGACTAAAAAATGCCGCGAAAAACTAGTTTTCTAAACAAAATAGACATTGCTGGTTTTTCCCTTGCTCCCTTCAAATGTTAAACATAATGCGTGTTTGTGTGTTTCAGGCGAACTTCTGCGCCAGTCGGCCGAGCTGTCGTACAACCTGCTGTACCTGGACACCACAGAGCGACACTTTTGTGCCAGTTTGGCCAACAGCGACTTTGTGCTGGCCCTGGTGGAGGCTTCCAGGGAGATTGGGTAAGGCTGGGGGAGGGGGAGATTGAGTAAGGCTGGGGGAGGGGGAGATTGGGTAA